ACCCACAAAATACTTCCGTCCACAAGTCTAGGATAGGTCAGCAATGTGTACTGAGTTGGAAATTGTTGCTCCATGAGTCATATTCTCAGAGTGCTCCATTCTTTCGATTCCTCCAATTCTTCCTTGTAGTTTTTTCCCCACCTGCTGAATACTTGTGTTCTCTAAGCAGTAATTTTCTGTTGAGAAAACTATGAGACATCCATCACTTCTGCTTGGGTAAGAGCTTCTTGAGTGCTGGGATTTTACTTTTTCATGTTTAAATAATCAAGATTTAGCACAGAGCCTGGGATGGGCAGCGCTCTCTCTCTCTCTCTCTCTCTCACACACACACACACACACACACACGTTATTAACTGATTGACTAAATGGTAATATCATCAGTAAGTCACAGAGAAATTTAGCTCCTCAAGCTCTATAAATACCAGTTAGTGTGTAAAATGCAACAATGCATCATAAAATCAGGGCTAGACACTCCTGCTTAGTACAATGGTTAAGAGTGTCATTCCTTATCACCTCCAACAGCCACCCCAGTTTTCTCATACCTCTCTTTGAACCTTTGCAGGTCAGTGGTTCTTGTAATTTAAGCCACAGTCACAATGAGCATGTCCTTTAGAATCTTTAGTTTGGGTTCAGCAAACAAAGATTATTCATACTTTCTTAGTCTCCTTCAGTAGTCAACAGGTCTGGCAATTTTGTGGCTTTTCAACAGCCTAGGCAGACACTGACAAAATGCTTTAGGAGGACCTAGTCTTATTTTTCCTTTTGTGGCTAGAGATGATCTTTTTGTTGTTAATAACAGGTTTTGAAAATTTCAGGAATGTTGAAGACGAATAATACAGGTGGGGGTGAAGGGAAGGGTGGAGTGGGTTCCATAATTTTGCAAGTGGATTAGATACTGAAGTTAGATGTTTTCAGATAGTATTATACTTCATAGGTATCAAACTAGCCAAACAAAATAAAAAGAACCTGCCTCACTCTTGCCTGTATAATATATTCCTGTTTAGTTAACACAAATGTTGCTCCTCCAAATTTCCAAGTTAATCTTCAATTTTGTAATTACATTAGAAATTAGTATAAATTAACATAATTAATTGAGAATGAATTAACACACCTAATTGAGAACTATTTATCCAGGAACTTTGAATATTATGGTATCCTATGTAAATCAACTTAAGATGCTAACTGGACCTGCAGTATTACAAATTTTAGAAACCAGTCACCTTAAAGATATGAAAGCTTTGTTATTTCTTTTAGAAGAGTCAAAGAGAGATTATTTCCAAGCATTATTTTGTCATTCTAAACCTATGTTAATTTCCTAGATTACAAGATGACTAGTAGTGATTACAATCACAGCTAAAATTATTCACATTAAATATACCTAGAAATAGGCAGGGTGAGGTGGTCCACATCTATAATTTTAACACTTTGAAAGGCCGAGGTGGAAGGATCACTTGAGCCCAGGAGTTTGAGACTAACCTGAGCAACCTAGGGAGATCCCGTATCTACAAATACTTTAAAAATTAACCCAGCATGCACCAGCAGTCCCAGCTACTCTAGAGGCTACGGCTGGAGAATCCCCTGAGCCCAGGAGGTCAAGACCACGATGAGCTGCGATCATACCACTGCACTCAAGCCTGGGTGACAGAATGAGACCCAGACTTACACAAACAAAAAAACATAGAAGTAGGAAATACTGTCTTAATTATCTCAAAGAAATAAGATTAAAGATGGCTTCTCTTTTCTTGGACAAAACTCTGTGTTGCAATTTCATGTCTGGGCATAACTCATATGTTTAGATTTAGAGTGGAAATAAGCATGCAGAATAAGACTCACATTAATGACAACCCAGTAACTACTTGATCTTACTTATTCAGGCTCTCCATGCCCCCAGTCAAATATAATTTACTTAGTCGCTTTCTTCACTTTGGCTATGGAAACCATAGTTTATTAACATAATTCCTATGTAATATATTGGCATACTGTAGGATTGCATTTAGCGGACTCGAATCCTAGACTAAAAATTGATTCTCCTTATTGGTTTACTTTAAAAAGTAGAAGGGATATTGGAAGTGCTGAATACTCAGACTGACTTTCTCTGGTTGGGAAAATGAGGAGATCTGTTATTGACTTATCCAAGAAAAATATGTTATCATCCTGGAGAATAATGTTGGAAACAGAAACCATACAGGGAGGACTATAGAGAAACAAAAAAAAAAAGACATAGCAGTGAAAGCCTTGCCATTCATCACAAAAGACCAGTCATGTGTGTGAGGAGAGCAAACATGTCTGGGAAGTCCCAGTTAGGTGCTCCTCCTCCCCTCACCTACCTTTTTTTTTTTTTTTTTGAGACCGAGTTTCACTCTTGCTACTCAGGCTGGAGTGCAATGGCGCGATCTCGGCTCACCACAACCTCCGCCTCCTGGGTTCAGGCAATTCTCCTGCCTCAACCTCCTGAGTAGCTGGGATTACAGGCATGCGCCACCATGCCCAGCTAATGTTTTTTTGTATTTTTAGTAGAGACGGGGTTTCACCATGTTGACCAGGATGGTCTCGATCTCTTGACCTCTTGATCCACCCGCCTCGGCCTCCCAAAGTGCTGGGATTACAGGCTTCAGCCACCGCGCCTGGCCTCCCTCACCTACCTTTAAGTAGAAGAATATACATTAGGCTGCATTTAAAGCCAGGCAAGTTGAAGCAGGCAATGCCGGGATACCCAGACCAGACTCCTAGTTCTTTTGGATCCACACAAAGCCAGTCCAAAGAGCCAAAGGAAACCAGAGCTTTTGATCCAATTTTCCAGTATGTCTACAGGATGGAGTGGCAAGAGGAAGCATTAAGGGAAAGATATGGTTACAGTTCTTTATAATGAGGCTAATCATGTGGGTTTGGGACATGGGTTTAGATTCCAGTTCTACCACACATTCACCATGTGATTTAATATCCTTAAATTTGAGTTTTATCATCTGGAAATGAGGATAATAACCATATTTAACTCTTTTTTTCTTTCTTTTTTTTTTTTTTTTTTTTTGGAGATGGTCTCACTCTGTTGCCCAGGCTGAAGTGCAGAGGCATGATCTTGGCTCACTGCAACCTGCAACCTCCACCTCTTGGGTTAAAGTGATCCTCCCATTTCAGCCTCCTGAGTAGTAGCTGGGATTACAGGCAAGTGCTACCACGCCTGGCTAATTTTTGTATTTTTAGTAGAGATGGGGCTTCACAATGTTGGCGAGGCTGGTCTCGAACTCCTAGCCTCAAGTGATCCACCTGCCTCAGCCTCCCAAAGTGCTGAGATTACAGGGGTGAGCCACCATGCCCAGCAAGTATTTAACTCTTGGAGTTATTCTCAGAGTAAAAATAACAATAGCTGATATTTACAGAGCATGTATTGTGTGTCTGGCATTGTACTGATCATGCATTTGTTATGTCTTGATACTATTTTTAGTCTCATTGTACAGATGAGTAAACCAAGGTTTGGAAAGATTAAGTGCTTTGCCCCAAGTCACTCATCTAAGAGGTGGCAAGGCCTTAACTAAGTGAAAGAAATCCATATTGTATACAATATGGTGCAAGCATCACTAAACACCAAAGAAATGACAGCTATTATAATTTCCCATATATCTGTCTAGATGTGTTGTGCCATCAGATAATATGGCAGGAGTGGAGAGAAGCACCAGCCTTCCATCAACTCTTAGAGTTGCCCAGCTGGCAACTTTCAGTGTATAAGTTGACATTAGCGTTTTGCATAGTACCGTAGAAAATCAGCCCATTTGCCTTCTTAGCCTCTGTCTCAGGTTTCCGTCTTCTGTTGTAATAAGCATTCAGCTGGGATTGAGGAAAATTGTATTCTAGCTCCAAAGTTGCATGCACTTTGATTGTATTCCAGGCATACATCAGCCATGTGACATCTTAGGAGATCAGCAATCAAGGGCATGTTGCTACCTGATTCATTCTCTCTCTCTCAGGGGTTGGCATCACTAGAAGCTGGAGAACCTGTGCTCTGGGGCACTCAGATGGGTGTAAGACATGACAGAGGTCATCTGGCCATTCCCTCAGCTAAGACATTATTGAAACTGCTACAGACACAAAGGGGAAAACCAAGGATCTTGATCTTACTCTTAACTTCTCTTCATTTCTTCATTAGATTGAGATTTGATAGAAACACCTGGTGAAACTGAGAGTTCTTATGCATTAAACTTTTTTTTTAAATTTCTATTTTTTTCTCGTCATCTCATGGTGCTGATAAACTTGTTTTAAACAAATAAATTATAGAATGCTATATTTCTCAGTATTATTTTTGCCATCATTTTTGCTTCAGTGGCTGACCCCAGAAATTAGAAAAAGTATTCCCATTAAGCTGGCTCATCTCAGATGTTAAACAAAATTGCTATAACCATTCTTTAGTTCAGAGGTAAGTCTTCCATTGATGACAAAGGATATTGAAGATACCGAGATGATATTTTCTTAGAGAATCAAGCAAGATGATGTGTAAAGATTTTAGATGTGTAACTCCTATCAAAGTTAACATGAGTTGTGCTGTTAAAATCCCCTCCTGACACTTTGCATTCTATCCTGGGAAGCCTGAAGAAGGTGCGGAAGGGTCATCAAAACATCAGCATCACTTTGATAAACTTGTCACCAGGTAAAATAAAATACATGTATGTTTGCTTCTTTTCCTCTGAAATCTAAAGTAATTATGATTATATAAAAACCTTTTACCATAACTAATTAACTAGAAGCTCCTCATAAACTATGTTTCGACAGCACTGTATGTCTAATTATCTTTTTTTTTTTACTTCGGAATTGTGATGTTGAATAATGAAGAAAACATTACCTGATGAAGTCTTTTATTTTATGATGATATCTCAGGAGACAAAGGAGACACGAAGGCTTAAATGCCATCTTCAATTACATCTTGGCCTTGGCAATCTTTTAGCTGGTTTTGATTTGCATGGAAATCACATTATATTTTTTAAAGCATATAGAAAGATGGATGGAGGGAAGGAAGGAATAAAGGAAGGAAGGGAAGGAAGGAAGGAGAGAGTTGTTATAAGATGTTATATATAGCTGTTTAATTGCACTGTTAATTCTAGGCATGAGGAACGCTTTTCATATGAAGAAAGCCATGGCATAGTTGTTTACTTCTAGTCTATTCTGCTGGACATTGAGGTTTGGGTTTTGCCAATTCCATTAAAATGACTATTCCCTCCCTACTACATAATGAACTACTTTAATTCCAATAAGGCAAGCATGAACTCATATGACAGAAACAGGAAGGTGAGTGGCTTTTTTTTCTTTTTTGGGCATGTGCATAGTGTTTTATTTTTTTTTAACTTTTGAAAGTACTGACTCAAATCCGTACCTGTAGATATTTACGTGTGTGTAGACCCAGGCCTGCTAGAGAGGGAATTTTCAGTCATTGCCTACTCCCAAGCCTATGCCCACCTTCTAAATATTTCTACATTTCTGTCAAAACTAAGGAATATATTTCAGCATGGTGGGCCATTAAGTGGCACTTTCATTGCTTTCACAGCCACCCCTGTCCTTGGACGCTCTATGCAATGTCCATTAAAGTACAGGAAGTCTGCCAGAGGGAGAGACTTGAGAAGTACACAGCTACAATTGAGGCACCCTATGGGCCTGAGTTTCTTTTCCTCAGAGTTTCCGTTTGATACTTTCTATCTTGCACAGGTGAGCTGGGATCTTCTGCCATAGTGCTTCCTAGACTGATATGTACATGAGCCACTTAGAGTCTTGTTAAAATGCAGATACTTTATTTCCTTCCTTCCTTCCTTCCTTCCTTCCTCTCTCTGTCCCTTTCTTCCTTCCTTTCTTTCTTTTTTTCTCTTTTCTTTCTTTCTTTCTCTGTCTCTCTCTTTCTCTCTTTCTGTTTCTCTCTCTCTCTCTCTCTCTCTCTCTCTCTCTCTCTCTTCCCCCCCCCCTTTTTTTTCGAGACAGGGTCTTTTTCTGTCACCTAGGATGGAGTGAAATGGCTCGATCATGGCTCACTGCAGTCTCAAACTCCTGGGCTCAAGCAGTCCTTCCACCTCAGTCTCCCAGTAGCGAGACTATAGACACATGCTACTGTGCCTGGCTAATTTTTTTTTTTAATTTTGTAAAGACAGAGTGTCACTGTATTGCCCAGGCTGGTCTTGAACTCCTGGGCTCAAGTGATCCTCCTGCCCCAGCCTTCCAAGTTTCTGGGATTACAGATGTGAGCCATCGTGCCTGGCCAAAATGCGGATTCTAATTGAGTTGGTCTGAGATGGGGCCTGGGGTTCTGCATTTTTTAATCAAGATTTCAAGGGATGCTGGCATTGCTGGTCCAAGGACCACACTTTGAGTGGTGATACTCCCACTCCATGGAGCCAGTTCAGGACTTTCTCTCTCCATATCCTTTCTTTTCCTCCTCAGTCTCTGCTCTGAACTCCAGGAGCACCGATGGACAATACTTGGTACTGATCTTGGTACTTCTCAGCCTCTGTCTCACCTGATGGATAAAATGTTTCCTGGGTATGAGGCTTATCTTTGCAAGTACGTTGTAAGCTCTGCCACCTCCCTACACCTCCAGACAGCAGTAACAATGATGATACAGCACAGAAGGCCATGGTAATTATTGTGGAATTGAATTGAGTTGGATTGGATTGAACTGACCAGGCTTTCTTACACTATGTTAAGAATATGTTTCTTCTCAAACTGGATTCAAGGACTCATATGGGAGAGCTTTAAGGCAGATTTGATGTGTTTAGATGTTTGCAGGAGTGATGCTCAAATAAGCAACTGAGTTCCAGCATTGGATCTCATGCCTTGTCTCCCTGGTCCCACCAACCTGTCCTCAAACACACAAGCCCAAACATAACAGGAAACACAACCAGCAACTAAGTCTATTTCTACTTCCCTAAAGAACTTTCCTCATGCCCTCATCCTTCCTACCCCAACACTCTGACCCCAACCAAGTGTCTTGTGACTTTCGGAAAAATGAAAGTATCTCCTCCTTATTTAAAAAAAAAAAAAAAAAAAAAAGAGGAACTTCTTAATTTGGTAACATTATACATTAAATGTATAATGAAGCCCTACTTACTATCTTTTTCTCTGAATCATCTTCCAGCCAAGTAGGTTTAATGTATATGCCCCTCCTCCAACTTAAATAAAATTGTGGTGATCTGTTGTTTCCTGACATTATTTCATTGTCTTGTAATACCCCACCTCTTCTTTGCCTATCCCATTGCTACACATGCAAGTGGCTCCAATGCAAATCCAACCTCTCACAACCAGTTTTTCCCCCGTGCTGCCTAGCCTGAGGGAACTCCACTCTCCTTGGAAAATACAGAGCTGTAATTTAGAGTATATTCAGCCATTAATTGTGCAGTATCCAGTACCATATTTTTCTGTGTTGTCTCAGCCTGCTTTTTAAAGATTTTATTGTTAGCTGACTTTAGAATTATTTATGCCTTATTAAAAGAGGCTACATTAAAATTTCCTTAAGAAATCCATGACCTATACCTGTGTTCCCCTTTGGGTCTCGCGTTCATTCACCATTCAACAATTAATACTTGAGCACCCTACCAGTGGAGTGATTGATGAATAACCAAAATAAATTGAATATATGTACATAATTGAATTTAAAACCTGATATTTCGCAATCCAAGTACTTTCACATATAACATCTCATTGTCCTTGTGACATTCTTCTGAAGCAGATGGGAAAAGGTAATATGTCATGCAAAGCATTTAATTAGTAACTTTGACAGTGTTTCAGTGTTTCAAGCTGGCATATGGGGAAAAAAAGTTATTAAGTGGAATAATATAAAAGTTAATTGTGACATGTCAAACAAACTCTTAGAGCAGATTCATGAAAATACCAAAGAAGAACAATGCTTCAAAATCTAAACAACAGTGGATCGATTTATGGCTTATTTAACCAAATCAGCAATCTGGAAAAGGTACCTCTTAAATTTGGACTGAAAGCTTGACAGAGAGTAAAACAGCCTGACCTCCATGGTTAATAAATACCATAAGTAGAGAGCAAACATTGAAAATGCCCTGTAGCTCAATGTCTTCAGCCAAAAAGAACTAATCCAATTGAGTGAGACCAAAGAAAACGACTGGGGATGTATGGTTCCAGAATGTCTCTGAGGTATTCAAACCCAAGTCAATTTAAGGACTTGTAAGTTAATAACTAGGACTTTACACATAATCCTGTACTTTACAGGTAGCCAGTGAAGGTTTTATACAACCAGGGTAATGTGATTTTCATGCTTGGTGTCAGTCAAAATGTCAGTAACTGAGTTCCAGACCAAGAGAAGTTCCTCAATCCGTCCGTTACAGAGTCCCCCAGAACAGCGACAAGCAGGGGCAGCACAGGTCCCAGGAAGACAGGAGCCACAAATACACATAGAGAGGAAAGAGCAGTGGACAGCAGCCATGGAGAGGGCTGGTTCACAGGGCTTTTAGCAGTGGGTCTGGTAAATAATTAAATAGGAAGCCTAAAAGATATGTCAGGATCAAAGATTAAGTGTAAATTCATAATAGAAATCTTAGGAGCTAACAGCCTTCAAAGCTGTAGTTCTGGGCAATTTACGGATTTGCAGTAATGGTGAGAACCCAGAAGCAATGAGACTTTCTTCTTAGTGTGATTCATCATCAGCTTTTAACAGTCAGGCTGAGAACATCCGGAGGTTAGGTGGCTAGAGAGTGAATTTAAGTTTCAAAGGGGTGAGATGACTACTTTTAAACATACTACGTAATGTTAGATGAATATTTTAAATACATTGATTGGATTCCTTTTTTATAAAAATTATTTAAGAGCTCTTTGAGCGTATGCGTGTATTTTAATTTCCCAGTGGAAAATTATAGTATCAGATGATAAAATCTTTCTAGATTTGATATTGACTAATGTTTAAAAAAATGAAATGGAAAAAGCATCCTGACGATTAACTGAGCACCGAATATGTTCCAATTACAGGACTAGGTACTTTATACACATTCTTTTATTCTTATTTTAATATTGTGAGGTAGGTAGGATTAGCTCCAAATATAAACTAGGAAATTCAGGCTTACAGGAGTATGTTGCTCTGGCTCCTGACCACTCAAAATTTGCAGACCAGCAACATCAGCATCCCTTGGGATGGGGTTAAAATGCAGAATTTCAGACCCTACCCAGACTGACTGACCAGGATCTGCCTTAATCAGTATCTGTGGCATTCTGAAAAGTCCCTTCTGTGTGTCACTTGAGTAAGTTCTCATAGAAAACCTGGGGTAGAAGGCAGACCAGTGACCAATGAGCAGACTAGACCAGTGATCAGCTGCCAGTAACCACGCTCAAGGCTTGCCAGCCACCTCTGCCATGCAAATGAACTTCAGCCCCTGGGGCTCCTCACCCAGCAAATGCATACACAGAGGATCCCTGGGGAAGGACCTGTGGTGAAAAAGGATGAAATAAGACATCTTTGGGCTGGCTCTGGCAGAGAGTGCAGGAGCTCATGGGCTCTCAGGAAAAGTCATTCCACACAAATTTACTGAGCAGCAACCATGTATTACCAAAATAGAGGTTAAGGCAGTAGGTTCTGGAGACAGACTATATTTCAGATCTGCTGAATGCTGGCTTTGAGGCCTTGGGCAATTTACTTAATCTCTTTATCCCTCCATTTCCTTATTTGAAAAATGGGGATACTGACGGAGACATGGTAAAGAGCTCATTGGATGCTTGCTTTCATTATTTCCCAAGTTGTGCTTTGGGGACTATGTCCAGTGTGGAACAAGACTGCTGTGGCCCCTGCCTTAGGTTTTAGAGGGGGAGGCAGGCATTACTAGGTACAGTTGTGACAGGTGCTATGCCAGAAGAACAGGGAACTATGGAAACATGTAAGAGAGGAGCTAGATTTAGGAAGCAATTAAGGAATATTTCTATGTAATTGACCTTTGCTTGTGATCTGAAGCTTGAGTAGAGAATTCCCAGGGGAAAGACCAGCATTAAAAAATTGAATGAGGACTTGAACCCTGGAGATGCAAGATAGCCTATGGGATGAGAACAGAGAGCAAGGGAGTTCCAGAGAGGCAGAGGAGTAGGCAGCCAGCAAACAGCCCTGCCCAAACACCTGGAAATGTTGAATACAGAATGACAAATATCCTCTTTGCTATGTAGTAGAATCCTAAAAATGGGAAACTTAGTTGCTAGAACTGATGAAAGAACTAGTAAAGAAGTAAGCTATGCCCTGGCTGCCTTGTAGGAGTTCCTGATCTCAGTAACCCCAAGGCTTATCTAGGAGATGGTGAGGCTCCGGGGTATAGCTGGTAAGAAGTCACAGCTGAACCCCCTTTCTGAAGCTAAGACATTCAAAGGGTGGATTAGGAAAACTCACTCAGCAACACAGGGACAGAATGAGGAAATAGTCTGCCTTCTTGGGTGGAGAGAAAGAGAGAGCCTATTAGATTCGTATTTCAGAAATACCATGCTAGCTGCAGGTTGGAAGAGGGCAAAACTGGTATGTTTTGCAACACTCAGGGGAGACTTTCTCATGGCTCTGACTAGGATGGGGCACTGCAGCCAGTTCTTAGAACTGGTAGCATGGCTGATTCCAGGTCCAAAATTGTCACCACAAGTGAATAATGGAGCCTAACAAGGAGCTTATGAAAATGATACAGAAACATGAAATGGATCAATGTCAAGGATCCGGATTCCAGAGACCGGAAATGTAGAGGCCCATAGGACCCAAGTTGTGGGAGATTTTGGCATAGTCAGTGCAAGACAGTTCAGCACAGAAGAACAATCACAATTCACTAAGGTTCGACAGGAGGGAACCTTCACAATCCAGAGGATAATGGAAGATAACCACCTGCCACAGAGCTGCAGAAAAGCCCTGAGCAAGGTGGGGGATGGTCTTTGGGCTCACAGCAGGAGCAGAGACTTGAAAGAAAATTCTGGAGGTGGGGAAAGAGCAGTGTCACTGACTCAAAACTGTTTCAGTCTAGGAGATTGAGTATTCTAGCATTTCATACACCCTGTACAGCTGAAATAAACGAGACATGTAAAACCCAGTCTGCTACTCAATGTGTGTGGCATGCAGACCAGCAATACCAGCTTCACCACGGGGCAGGTTGGGAATGCAGAAATTTGGCCCCACCCCTTGGGTCTCCTGAGCAAGAATCTGTATTTTAACATGGTCCCTGGGGATTCCTACATGCATGACAATTTACCATGTGTGGCTATGAAAGATCATGTCACCTCCACCATCTGTGATGCGGGCATGGGTTGTGTGACCCAGGATAAAAGATACTCCTTATTGGAGTATGTGAAGATAGTTTTGAAATACTTCTGACTCATGTCAGGCAAACCAAAAATGAAAGAGATTTGACCACATGTAGGCAAAGATAAATAGAAATATTGGAACCCAGTTCTACAAGTCAGACTGGGTCAGCACAATGACAGGACAAAACCAATTCAAAAAAAGTGAGGTGGAATGAGATAAAAAGAGAGCTGCAATTGAGAATTAGGTAAGATTGTAATTTCTAATTTCTTTCCACTTCCTTCAGATTAAATGAGTAGCCAATTCACATCAGCCTCAAACTTACCATGCCACTCTAAAATGCTTACAGGTGTAATTATTTCAGATTTAAATTCACAGCTATAGCAACTTTGCACTGAAGCTACATTTTTTAAATAATACACTAAAATCCTCCTATATTACCCCAATGTGAAGTATCTTTTGCCCAAATGCACTTAGAATGATTCTATAACATTGCTAACATCAACTTTAGTGGTATTACTATTCATTCATTCAGCAAATTCAACTGAGCACCTACCACATGTCTGTCTGTGCTAGACACTGGAGAGCTGAAGATGCAGCAGTGAATATGACTCTTCACTTAATGTGGTCACTGTTCTCAACATGCTTCGAGTCTATGAGATTAAATATAATCATTACAGTTCTAGCTACTTTCCTAAGTGTTATTAACATTTAACCCGATTTCATTATTCTAATGCTATGTAGTATCCCAAGAAACCTTTATATATTTGCATGTCTGTTGTTTTACTATGTACCTACATGACATATGCATCAGAAACCTCTTCTGTGCTATATTTTCAGAAATACCTTCTTTCAGCTTCAATATACTCCTTTCCTGTAGTGAAAAAGGCCTGAGCTTCCTAAGGGATGGAAATTAAACACATAAGGATGTAAAATTCTCATTGAATTAATAGACTTGCTTTGGGTGTGTGGGTGTGTGGGTGTGTGGGGTGTGTGTGTGTGTGTGCTTCTTTTTTCTTTTTGTTCTTTTTGGCTTGTTAGAATATATAAATCTGGCAACTTCTCTAAAACGCTCTCATTTAGGTCTCTTGGGAGAAAATGTGAGAACCAAGGGGTATAGTATAAGTGTCAGTAGTCTTTGTGTCTCTAGATAGTTCTGCTGGTTTTCCATGGGGTGTGGAAGATAATTTGTCAGCTTAACTTCAGCTGCAGCCATTATGGAAGAAGACTATGGCTCCTCTTCCAGCAATAGATGTGCAGAAATAGCACCTGAAGCCAGAGAATGTAGGCAGGTGGGAATTTAATCCTCCTGCCTATATCCCTACCCTATCCTGACCTTACATTCTTTCCTTCATTATTAGTAATCACATGTCCTGATAGGTGCCTGTGTCTTTAGCTATATCTGTGTTGTAGTCTATATGTAAAGAGACCAACAAAACTGGGTCTCTTGGCAAAAGGCAGGTAGCACTTTGAACTTTGCACTTAGAGATAAGACAATAAAATTAGGTGAAAATATCAGTTATCATTGATTTAAT